CGCGCAGTGCGGTACTTCGGAAGCGCCCTGTAGCTTCCGATTGCTGCGCGCCCTGCGAGTCCTTTTTTTTCCGTCGCGCCCGCGCTCGCGTTCTCGTCCTCGTCCTCGTCCTCGTCCTCGTCCGCGCCTGAGCGCGTGCACCCCGCGCATTCCTCGGGGCCCTCCGCGCAACCCTGCCGCCCTGCACCTGCAGCGCCCGCCCGCCCCCCCACCCACCCGCCTGCCCGCCGTGCGTTCGCCGCTGTCCCGCCTCGCCCATGTGGAAGTGGTGGCGGACATACATCTTCTGTTTCCGCTGCCCCCTATTCTGTAACATTCACCTTATCTTCATTATCGCTGTCGCTTTCGTCCCGTTCTTCTATTTGGTCCGTCCCAATTCCCGCTTCTTTCGCTTTCTCCCTCCCCTATCCAAAACTCCCTCACTCCGATCTATCCATCGGTCCTATCCTTGCTTCATCGGTCCTATCATTGCTTCTATCGGTCCCTATCATCTGCTTCTATCGGTCCTTCATCATCTGCCTATCTTGCATCGGTCCTATCATTGCTTCATCGTCCATTCTTCCGGTCGTATCTATTGCTTCCATCGTCCTATCATTGCTTCCATCGGTCCTATTCATTGCTTCCATTCGGTCCTCAATCATTGCTCCATCGGTCTATCCTTCTCCATCACGCGTTTTCCCCCTCCTTTCTATCAATTCTCTTTCTATCCTTTCCGTCATCTTCTTTCCTCCCTTTCCCATCTTACGCCCCTCATCTCCATTGCACTGCTCCCCCGCGCCAGTGGGCTCTGTGCCGCGAAATGTCGTCCGTCACCGTCGCGCGAGGCGAGAGATCGGTAGGGGCGGGGCAAGCGCGGCCGGCGGGCCGGGGCGTGGCGGCGGTGTCGCTCGACAGACGGCAGACGGCGTGATGCGCGGCGGGGCGGGGGCGGGGCGGAACGCGGCGCCGGTGATAAGCCGATCGATGGATCGCTGCGAGAGGTCCGCGTGCGATACCCGTCACGTGCGCAAAGAAGTGAGACGCGAGGACACGAGAGGGGAAGGTGTCTGAATGACGTGCAGAGAGATATAGCGAATACGTTCGTTGTGTTGTAGGAAAAGCTCTGTGGAATGAGTATACAGGATGATAGTTTCGCTTCATTTAAATCGAAAATAATTATGAAATATATTATAGTTAATGAAAATGTTTAAGCAGAGGATGAGAGAAGGGTTAATTGTGTAACATATTTTCCGTAGGTAGTTCTCATCACTACTGAAATGTTATTTAATGACTTTGCTCGTTTAGTTATTTAATGTAAACATATTTCATACTGAAAGGAAGCAGAGGTATCGAGGATTTCTGTTGACAACAAAAATTAAAGTATCGAAGACTTGGTGTCTAAAACGTGAATGGGAATAAGCCAAATTTGTTTCATCAATGAATTCGAGTTTGTGTTATCGTGGATTCTACGAATCAAAATGTATATTGTGTTTCCGTTACTTCCCCTTTACTAACCACAGAAGAAAACATTGCTGTTCATATCTCTACCTTTGAACTCTACGTTTACTTTCCGAAAAATCCGTTCGCTCTGATCTCGGTTTACAATGCATCACACAAGCGCGATCTTGTTGCGCCGACGGTGGGCCTCGTGCCGATGTGGGCCGCCTCAGAGGTTGGGCACCGACAGCCCCCCCCCCCTCCCAGCGTCGGGCGTTAACGCGCGCCCATCAATGTCGAACGAGCGCATCGATCTGTCGTTATCCTTGAGCGCCTTCCGAAGCGGCGACGGTCGAATGGGCGGCCTTGCGCGACCGACGGCGCGGCTCGGGGCGAGTGGGCGACTCCGCGCAGCTCAGTGGGGACGAGGATTCTTTATTTGTTTGTTGGATTATTTATTTATTTGCTTTAAATTTATTCTTTTTAATATATGAATGGGTGAAAATGATGGTATAAATGACATTTTATAAATTCTTAGAAAAACGTCTTTACTTTACGCTACATTTCAGTTGCAATGTATTTTCGTGGTTTGAATGAACAATTGAAATGCCGTGGTTTTAATGATGAAACAAAGCGCAACTACTTAACATTAATATTACCTTGAATAAACAGATTTCTCAGAACTGTGTAAGCGACATTTCATAAATTCAGTTTTTCACCCATTCATATTTAGTTATTTGTCTGCAGCTGTGAAGACCATTGAGACTAATGAGTAGATAGTAAGTAATAGATGATAGTGGTAATGCATGAGCGAAAACGGAGTAACGAAGGACGCGGGGAACCCCAAGCATTTGACCATCACAAATTCCAGATGAATTGGGCAAGGATCGAACTCTAGCCTCAGCAGTTGAACACGCATGCGCGATGTACTTTGACACGATACCTTACTTCCTTTAATACACCCAAAACAAACACCCACATACAAACACACACACAACACAAACACACACAACACACACAACACCACATTGTGGTGAGAGGAGTGATGTGCGAGAGGAGCGATGAGTGCAGAGTGAGGATCAGGGTCAGGAGCAGAAGGGGTGAGGTCACCGTGCGGTAACCGTCACCGTCACACGGTGAAACAGTCGCCAGACACTCGCGATGACGACTGTTGCGGTTTGTTGTTCATTGGCGAGATCGATTTTTTTTTGTGGCTTACCCAGTGCTTCTTGGAAGCAGTTGCGACAGAATATCAGCAATTCTTGTGAATCTGGTTGTAAACTTTGTTACTTAAATAACTTACAGATTTTTTTATAGTCGCATCACGAACGCTAATCAAAGAATCATCGTGTACAATAGTTCGACAGAAAGGGATATTAAGAAATGTGAGCGCGAATTTCATTAAGACAACCTTCGGCGGGAACAAAAGTATTTCGTTCCCACTTTTTGTATATTAAACACGTTCTGATGCGGGTAAAAGGGAAAGTAAATTGCCACGTTTTCATAACTCTCCTCTTTCGTGTAAATGTAAAATTTGGCGTTTGAATGCTCTCTACATATGAGATAACTAACATGACTTTGACCAATCAATCATATTTAGATGTAGTTAGATATCAGTTAACTTTATTGTGAATAATAAATTACATTTCTATTGACGGTGATTATTGACAGTTTTACATTCCTATTGGCGGTGTTCCACCTGCGAAGATTGGGAAATGTGTTATTAAGTTTGAATTTTTCAATTTTGTTTGCAAATATTACAATCCAATGGCATTTGAAATCGATCAGTATAGCTTATGACTTTAGAAACAACTCGCTGCCATCAGAAAAATAACATTTGAAAGTGCTGCAAAAAACCACAACTAATATTTGATTGTGATCCCGTCCATCTTGGTGTAAATGTAATGTGGCGCAACTGATAGGTTTTGCTGCCTCATTGTACCCTTGAAACTTTTTCTTGTACAATAATACATTTTGGGCGCAATAGTATCGATGGCAGGTGGTACGTCAGTCTGCGTCAGACTTTCTCACAACGTATTATTCTTTCCACACAACACAGTCTACACAGCACATCTCAAGAGAAGGCTTCTGTCAACAAGAGAAAGTATGTTGAGCTTCATAAAATATGTCCTGGATACGTTCAAATAAAAAATGAACATAGTTTTGTATGCTTGGTTAGCAGTACGAAGAAACCAACTTGGTTGTTTTGAGATTTCCTTTGTTCTATAAATCAAACATACATTTTACACGAAAGTTCGAAAATTCAACGAAGCTTACACCTGCCTATCTACTTTGTAAATGCATTATAAAATGTTTGCGCTTACTCAAAGACAGAATTGATCTTCCGAGCATGTTTTGACCCAAAAATAAAGTCTCATGCAAAGTGTTGCTGAAAATGTTTACTTGGAATGCATTTGCACTTGCAAAACAACGTCATTCGTCTGATTGTCTTCCGGGAACGCTAGGCCCTCCGTTCACTAAGTTCAACCCGGTAACTCCCATTCTGTTTCGTAGGTTATCTAAAATTAGCTTACTGATGTAAACGCACTCTGCGCTGGAAGGCCGCGTGCCCGCAGCTCTCTGCCGACGCACTTTTTCTCGCGAATGTCGCGGAATGTTTATTTATAAACGGAGTAAACACGGCATGTAATTACCGGGTGGCCCGAAGGGGCCTGCAACAGGGGATATTCTCGTGAATCTGCTCTTTTCAAGTTCCCCAGATCTTCTGGTTGCTTTCGGACTCGCTCGTTTCGGTCGGAGTGAATTTGTGCTGATGGGCTTGTTAGTGTTGGGTATTTGGCGCGTGTCACACGTGTGTCCCTTCCTCAAAAAATTAGTGTTATTTATGATTTCCCCCTGACTAGGAATCTGAAAAGCTTCCAAGTTCCATTTCTTTAGTGCGACTAATTCTTGGTGAACTCGCAACGCTTCAGGTTATTTTAAAGTTGCAATTGCGAGGTAGGTAATGATAATTTTGGATACAGTGACTGTGAATAAGGACAGTTGTATAAGAGCTGTATTAATTTCGAATAAGGGGGAAAATAACTTCTTTCTTGACTATGTAAATTACATTCAAACACGTCTAATATTTTTTGAAAACTCAACAAAACGTTAAATGACTCAAAATTAAATATATTAATATTATTTTGTGTAATATTAAGTGATTTGTATTTTTAAAGAAAGCAAATAAAGTAATGATATACTTAAAAATCAGATCTAATGAGAAAATTCGCAATTTTTGAATTATTTCTTTCATTTACAAAATGTGACGCTTATGAAGCAAACATAATTCCATATTGAAAGAAGAAAATGTTGATCATCAGCATAGAAATAGAAATACAGTGCTGAAATACTGTCACTTCTATTTAATGTTACACATCAAACATTTTGTTCAAACTAGGGAGAAACACACAGATGTATTTTATTTTCTCGTGCCAAAAAAAACTCTCCTGTTACGCAAGTATCTCGCTAATTTTCCTCGTAGAAAAAAAGCAAGAGTGCGCTCTGGGAGAGCCTTTTCTCTTTCGTTTTGCTCCCTCTCGCGTTACCCGCCGCGAATTCTGGGCGTCGCTTCCCGAACGCAGCGTTGCCCCAGGAGAGGAGAGGCCAGGCGAGGCGAGGCGTCGCGCCGCTCCGCGCCGGGCCACGCCGCGTCGGGCGCCGCCTTCTCATTTGAATACGTTTGGCGGAGGATGAGGGAGAGGGCGGGGCGGAGGCGCTTCGTCGGAACCCTGGCGCCCGCGGGCTGTTTACCGGCAAAAAAGTCGCGGCCTCACACTGACGTCGCCGTTGCTCTTGCCGTCGCCGTTGCTCTTGCCGTCGCCGTCGCTTGTTGCCCTTGCGTCGCTGTTGCCGTTGCCGTCGCTGTTGCCCTTGCCGTCGTGTTCGGCCTTGCCGTCGGTGTTGCCCTTGCCGTCGCTTGTGCCCCTTGCGACGTCGTCGCCGTTGCGTTGCCGTTACGTCGCCTCACCGGCTTACCCGCGTTGTCATTACTATCGCGCATTTACCGGGTTGTCGCTCTGTCCAACCAGTTTGTCCGTTTCCGGTTGCTGTTGCACGGTTTCGGTTGCCTCGTCCCCACCTCTGCGTGAGCGAATGTTGCGACGTTTCATCCACATTCACACCGGACACAAATCGTGTTAGAGACGATGTAGATAGCACAAAAGCGCGCACATATACTAAGGAGAGAGAGCAGACGGTAGCAACGGGAGGGTTTTGCAGCGATCGAACGCCCGCTGTCTTGGAAGTTGGACCGAATTAAAAAATATGCCATAAATATGCTTTCAGATAGATTTATTCTTATGAATTAAATTTTAACTTGTGTACTAACAGAATTAACAGCATATAAAATACTTAATAGGAGTGGAATGCAAGTTTTGACAGATACTCAGTAGAAAGCAAAGCGTCTAGTACAAAAATAAAATACTTTTTTTAATATTTCGAACTCGTTAATACACATTTTTTGAAACGGAAACTATGATAGTAGAAAACAAATAATTTACTTTTCTAATCTTTTCTATTTTCCCATGGGCATGCTTCGTCTGAATATAGCCTTGGGAATTCCGCTTTGGTGTCAAGGCGTTAACTAGGATAGCTTTAGTTTGCTCAGTGTGTCCACTCATGCCCGCATGTTCAAGACATACCGGAATTTAAAGCAATTACCCGGTTTTGCGACGTCATTACTTAACGTCGGGGCTCATGTACTTTTCCGCCTTTAAAGTGTTACCAACACGGTTAGTCGGGTCTAGATTTAGATGCGGAGGATGTCGTATATAGGACAGATCAGCAAACGCATCCTGAAGAGAACGATCAGAAGCCGACGTCATTGTGACCAGTAACATTTCGAGTTTTAACCGACCCCATAAATTGTTGTCACTTCGATCACCACACCATAAAACATAAGAAGGTCCAACAGGCTTCACTCTCACACCTTTCGTATTTCAGTTAAGGCAATATAACGACAAACCCTCCACCTGGTGGCATTTTTCTTCACATTATCTTCCGGCTTCATGTTTTACCATTGCGCTTTTTCGCGCGTTACGTAGTTTTTATCGTGGCTATTCTACAATTCAGTAGACCAGTCATGATTGCATATGCTTCCATGAGGAAGGAATATCGCCAATCCGCCTTGGTCTGGCAAGTGTACCACTGTCGATCATTGCCAGACGCTGTGTATTCTTGCGGATACTACCATTCCTAATATGAGCAGACCATCGCCGATGCAATAACTATCTCGTGAGTACTTTTTGAGGTAGTGTCTAACTGCTGTTGTTTCTGTTTATCGTAGACTCGTGTTACTCCACAATTGCACACATGGACATAATTGCCAGGTTAATCGAAAAAACATCAACTTTTATTACGTAGCTTTCGTGTTAATTTACTTTATATAGCTTTGCTTCTGTTTGGCTACCTTGCTATTGGTTGATCTGATTGCGTATCTTGGAGGTCGCGATTCCGATTCCACTCATCAGTTGCAAACCTTGCCAGTTTTATGGCTAGTACCGCGAGGGTAGATAGTCTGCATATAGATTATGTAACGTAGATTGCATATAAGGTTGTTCTAAAAATTAATACGCCGTTGAACTCACTATTTTTAAATTATCAAATAACCAAGATGCAGCGTGTAACATTGATTTGGGCTATACTCTTACCGGGGCCAAAGTCTAACGCATATCATTCCTGCATGGACACTGCAATGAATGGCAGACGCCATCGTTACGCATATTACTTTGCCAGGCTATCCACGAGGTTACACTGACCCCAACTACCGGGCTAAGCGCACATCACTACCCAACGGGAATTACGCGGCCTCCCACCATTACCTCCGTTCTATCGTCGAAGTTACTCTACACCACACCGCCGCCCTCGTTAATCACAATCTTCTCAGGCAGCTATTTCGCAATACAGCTAAACTCAGCCGATAAGAGAACCACAGAACTCCACCCGCCGGAGAGAGGGGCAAAGCACGACCAACGAAAAACCCACGCCGACGGCCCTCAGGGCAAGCAGGCGAGGATTGAGGCATCAGGTACTGGCCCGAGACCCGGTAAGCCCGCGACGGAGACGACGGACGAGCACCCCGACGGAGGCCAACGCCGGAGCTCGCACTGCGGGCGTGATCATTAGCACTCGACAAGCGGCGATAGAGGCGACTTCAGCACACTGGACGGGCCCAACACCACCGCCCGGCGGTCCGTGACCGACGAACTCGCTGCGGCACCCCAGCAGGGCCGCGCGATGGCGGACCGGTTAAAGCGCGCGGACGCGCGCGAGCGCGTGGACATGGGCGAGTTCACCGGTCTGGCACGATTCAGCTGGGACCGGGGAGACCGTTAGACGGACTAAGACAACTCGATCGAGGCAGACAGCAACGAGATAACGATTGAGAGCAACGCCGGGTAGTCCGGGTCGCGGCCAGTGCGCCCCCGGCCTCCCGAACGCCTCCACGCGCCACAAAGACAAGGCCCCCCGCCGGGACGAGGCCGAGAGCTTGGCCGCGCAAGCGGCTCCGCATCCCACGCCGGAGGGCGGTCAGGATCACCTAGCACGCGCCCCTACTCGCGACCCGGCCACAACGAGGGACGATGGGACCGCGGCACTCGCCCCCGACAGGGCTCCGGCACCGACTACCCCGGCATCTCTCCACAATACACAACGACGATTGACGCCGT